GTATTGTTCCTAACATTTGCGCAAAGTGTCTCTCCCGCACTCAGAGCTTATTCGAACTCCGCTTCGCGTCGTTCGTCTAACTGCTTTTTCGTGCGGGAAAGTATCACTTTGCGCACTTGTTAGGAAAATAACTATTTTATCATAAAAACACTTACCCACCGTGCCTTTGTGCTGTACTGACTGGGATCCATTGTTTTAGAAAACAATAAAAAACAAAACGCAGTATTTTCACCAAAACAAATTAGTGGAACTACTTCTCTAACATGTGGTGAATGACAAAAATAGTTATTTTCCTAACAAGTGCGGAAAGTGATACTTTCCCGCACGAAAAAGCAGCGGATAAGCTTTGAGTGCGGGTAAGACACTTTGCGCAAGTGTGAGGAACAATACTTTTTCTACGAGTGTTTGAAGATTTGCATCCAGAGGAGCTGTACCTAATCTTCTTAAATGTTTCGAGATGCTCAAAATTGGTGATTTTCTCACCTAGTTCAATGGTTGTGTTTTCAATTTTTTTTTCAGGGATCAGCTTGACTTTATTTGCAACATTGGTTGTGCTAGCGAGGTTAGTTTTTCCTGCCAAATTTTGGTATGGAGAAGTATAACTTACAGTCCTACTTTTATAATCTGATACTCCAAAGGAATGTGAGTTGGTGGCTCTCCATGCCAATGGTCACCTGACCTCACATCTGTTTTTCCTCCCTCGCTCTTCATATGGAAAGTATCAAATCAAAAAAGCTAAACATTACCTGGATGCCTTTCTTGGAACAAAAATAACATCAGGCCCTTCTTTCTGAATGTAAGTTTATCCAGAAACCCACAAAACATTAAACAATCGAGTATAAATGCGGTTACTATGAGTGCGCAAAGAGTTTCCGTGCGCAAAGTTCAACTTTGCACACGCAAATAAGTGTGCAAAGTAATAACTTTGCGCACCCTAGTAGAAAATAGTATATTGTGCAACAAGTGTTGAAAATAGCACTTTTCACACGCGTGGGGAAGTTTGGTAACACGAGCCGCAGGCGAGTGGCACAAACCGCACGAGTGTGAAAAGTGCTTTTCACACGCGTTACACACTATACTTTTTCTACCACTGCGAAATAACTATATTCACATTGAGATTTAATTTTTTTTTTAATAAAAATTATTATTTAAGGTTATGATCAACGAACTATTTTGGTGCGTACGTTGAATGTACTCAGAGTTACTTGCAAAACAAAAATTCAGTAGAAGTGTCATTTTTATTTTAGCGTGTGAAAAGTTGTGCGGAATAATTGATTTTCTAGGTAAGTTAGTAGTGCGTTTTTAATAACTTTCTAGAACAGTCGTAGAAAAAATATTTTTAGGTTACGTTTGTAGCGCCTGTTTTTCAATTTTCTGTACACCAAAAATCCCCTGATCCCCTTTTAAAGGGACAATATGCATTAATAGGTTTACAAATACCATCCAGAGCGGATAAAAATTGAAATCGATCGATTTCGTATATGTTTCGAGCAAGTCCTGAACGACTCCCTTAAAACTCCATAAAGAAATGGGAACCTTCAAATTGAAATTGATACCTTTTTTTACCTCCAAACACAGCTGGATGGCATTAAAAAAAAAAGTAGAGAAAAAAGTTAAGCAGCAACTCTGTTATTAATGAAACTCTGTAACTCTTATTGTTCATGTCCATGAAAGATCCTTATCAGAAAACCGCTCGAAAAAGCTATTATCAGAGCAATCAGGTGAAGCTAAAACGGTTTCAAGATCGTATCAAGAGCCTCCCAATCGGTAATTTTCGTGCCACATAATCGTTTAGAGGGTGAGCTCTATTAGGCCGCCTCTACATGTTGATTAAAAGATACTAAAAATAGAGCATATATCGAGCATGGATTTTTACATTTTCTTGCATTGACGTCAGCAGCGAGTAAGCCGGCTGCAATTTTCTGACAATGAACATGAGCCGTGCTTGCGGGAGATTAAAAAATTCTTCTTGCAGAGGCTCTGAGTACATTGATAATATAGGCGAAGCTCCTTTTTTCAAGAGCAAAGTGCCTGATAAAAAATCAAAATTGGCCGCAAGAGAGGCACTTAAAAAGTAATTTTGCTGGCACCACGACCTTTAAAACTTGGCAAAGGGCCGGCTAATGATGCCCTTCTCGCACTTTTTCAATACCCCAGTTCGTATACGAAAAGGGCTTGGGAAATTCGAGAGTTTTTGCAATGGAACCGTTACCTTGTAGAGAAATTTATTAATTTCAGTTTGACAATATTTCCTATATTATTTCACAATACAAGCTTGAGCATAAGAAAAAAGAATAATTATGTTATCACACATGTTTCTAAAAAAATTACGGAATTGAAAAAACTAATTATTACTTTCACAATAAATGAGCTCATTCATTGGCAATGCAAGATGTACGGAGATATCTATGGTTACTCACTCCACCAAATGGAAGAAACGAAAATAATTTGCAAGTTATCTTGGATAACGTTATCGTTAAAAATATTGCAATATTCGTCCATTTATCGTCTACATACGCGAGGCTATTTATAGGAAAAATGTGCGCCTCCAGCATTGATTATGTGCAATTCCTTGTATGTCCCAATGTGGCGATATTTTTCTTGGTTAAAAATGAGAAATAACTAAGTAAATTATACTAGGTGTTTCATATAAAATGTGGGATCCACTTCCAAGGTTAATTGGGGGAAGTTTCTGGTTTCAAAGTAATCCCAATAATCCCGCCCCTAGTGTGGCCGTACCTCATAAAAGTAGTTTCAATAAACATGTCACTCCATCCCTATTCCATTAAACAGCTCTGAATTATGATGCATAACATGTTTTGCCTTAAGAAAGTGTGTTAGTATTTCTTGTGGCAGTAAAAAAATACGGCATCATGTGTTTAACTACTTCAATACCTACGTAATGCCCACTCACCCTCTCTTTCTGCTCGTTCGTACATCATCATTAACAGAACAGGCTTAATCAAGCAATCAACCCAAAGTTTCGAAGTTTTACTTTTAAGAGATAACGTATCGATTATAGAAATAAGATGATCGTTGTTCCTTATTGTGACTGATTCAAAAACACTTCGAAGTACCTAGTTCTTCAACACCTGAGCGCAGTGTCCTAACATTTTAAGGAAACTTTTTGCCGGACAACATTTTTTTCACCCCATGAAATATATTTTCCATTATCTCCTCGAGACCACTGTTCGCCATTAGTGTCCCTACAGATCCAACAAAACTCATGAGAAGGTGCATGCCACCGAGACGTAGTACAACATTTTGAAACTTTTGTGGATAAACCCACATTACATTACAAAGCGATCCTATACAGTTGCTGGTCACAGGTGAATACAGCTATTCCCTGTCCAGCTTCTTTTGTAATAATTTGTGCTTGAACTAGAGCAGTCATCATAGTGTCGGGATGTGCAGGACTCATCTCAATCAGAGGTTTATAAGCTGTTGAAGTTGCAGGCTTAAAGGGCTTATGACTATTGCGGAAAAATTTAGTATCATATCCATTAAATTCTGGACATTTATCTTGAAAGAGAACATCACTTATAAAATCGAAGTTAGTTTTCTTAGCTTTCTGACTAGATAATATTTCAGGCATAAAATTGTTAATACCAAAACTGATTTTTGACAAAATTTTATAGGCATTTTTGGCTTTGCTGGGCTATGGTATCTTACTACAACTACATCAGTCTCATAATCAAGTTTCTTAGTTAAATAATTCCTTTCAATACGTTTAATTTGTGTCAAGACGGTACACGGTACATTTAACGCTTCTACTGATTTAGTTTGAACGAATATGGCCAGTGAATGACTACTGCTTTTTCCATTTTGTGATGAGATTTCTGTGTCAAAATTATCATCAATAAGCTAGTATCACTCTGTTTAGAAATTCCAGTCAAATTTGAGTTTTTAACCACTTCATTAGCAGCCGACTTTTTGAACCTCATAAGAGCTAATCATAAGTACAAGATATCTGAAATTGGTTCAATATGTTTACTAATTCATTGGAAAATCGAAATTTTACTCCAATCCAAACCTGAAGATCCGTAAATATGTTAGATAAGGTAGACGACACAATACTTCCGATTAATAAGATTGGTGGAGTTTTGTCAAGTTTGGCCAGTTTGGGTGATAACTTTGCGCAAAGCTTTAACAAGGTCTTACTGCACTTGACACTGATTCGTCGCTTATACGTACACTACATTTTTCTTTATTCTTTTTTACTGCAGCAACCTCAAGTTTAATTTGCTTAGCAATTTTACTAATGGCAGTCTCAATGTCGTCGGCGTCGTCACTATCATGGCTTAATCTTGAAATTGACGAGGCTTTGTTAGGAAATGTTATGATATGCGCATATCCTGGAGCAGAAAGTAATACAAGATCTTCAAATTGATTCTTAAGTGCTTTAATTATAGTGTCGTTATAAGTCGTTATTCTGGTCTAATCGTCGTTTGGCTAACAAAACAGCTTTTTCGCTCATAAATCTGTTACGACAATCCAGATAGTATCTGGCGTCTACTGCATGTAAGTCTGCTACTCAGCCTGCTAATCTTAGTGTAACTTCAGAAGCCCAGGTATCATTTCTCTCTATCCAGGTTTCTAAAATTGCTTCTTAGATTGCCATTTTTTAGAGTTGCCTTCTAAAGCGCGGAACTGGAAGGCCGCTCTCCATCCAATTAAAGGTAAAAACACGCCAATTAAAATTAAAATAACAAATGCATAATGCAAACCAAACCAAACACAGACTGACTAGTCAGATAGATAGATAGGCCCGGTTGTACCAAATAGTGTGACTCAGTTGCCTTTAAGAAGTGAATTTACGACATTTTATAGACGTCTTCTAGACGTTTTTTTTGGTCTTCAGACGCAATGCAGACTTAAAAGGACGTCTTTAAGACTTTGTGTGCTCTCCGGGTGAAACATGTTCTTGAGGGTTACCAGAGATGTTATTTCTTCAATTTCTGATAACAACATAAATGACTAATTTTACTTACTTTTTACAGAAATTATTTACAATGACTGACAACAATCATCAGTATAAATTACTCTACTTTGATGTACCTGGAAGAGCCGAACATATTCGATACCTATTCGCTTATGCTGGAGTGGAATACGAAGACTACCGGATACAAAAGGAAAAATGGCCAGAGCTAAAGAGAAGTAAGTAAAAATCAATATTTTGGGCCTCCTGATATCCTAAAAAAAAATTTTAGCGATGCCATTTGGTAAAGTTCCAGTCTTGGAAATCGACGGTAAACCAGTGGCTCAAAGCAACGCAATCGCACGGTATTTGGCCAAAAAATTCGGTCTGGCTGGAAAAAACGAATGGGAAGAGTTGCAGTGCGACGTTTTGGTCGACACCCTCGGTGACCTTCAGGCTAGTATGTAAATAATTCTCAATTACCTATATCAGAAAATTTCCGTAAATAATTTATCTCGAACGCCAAATGTTTCGGATTTTTATTGTAGGTGTTACGCAAGTGATGAAAGAACCAGATCCAATCAAACGTGAAGAGGTCCGTGCGAAAGTCACCAAAGAAGAATTGCCTTTCTATTTGTCGAAATTTGAGAAAACCGTCAAGGAGAATGGTGGATTTTCTGTCGGAAATGATGTAAGAACTAATGCAAAATTTTCATATAAAAATAACTCATAGGTACCATCGTCACCAAAAGTATCTGGGACACAAATAATGCATAATAATCTCCTGGACTAATTCTACTGTCATTCATTTCAATGCATTTCATTCATAGTTTGACAAATATTTGACAATAAAATTCATATAATAGGACAAGAGCTAATGTGATGCTGTCCCCGTTACTTTTGGTGACGATGGTACAGTTGTGATTAAAAAAAAGTAGTACAAGAAAAATCTCCAAAATCTCCTGGTCTATTATACATCAATTTAATTCATAACCAAAAATGACATATTTTTGGCATTTTTCGACAAGTTTCTAACCTAGAAAGTTTCAGATGACATTACTTTGGCATTTTTCCACCAGTTTTTAACCTGGAATATGTCAAAATTTTGTATGTTACACCGGAAGCTCAAATTGGAGTTAATAATTTTTGTACTACTTTTTTTTGATCGCAACTGTACCTACCTACTTAAGAAAAGTGTTACAATGCCCTTGTGTGCCTCTAAAAGGTATAGGTAGTTTTTTTTTTCTAATATGAATCAACAGGTAATCCTTATAGTGCTATCAAATAAAATAAATAGACTTTATCTTTATTTAATGACACTTAGATTTATACCAATTTGACTACTACCTATTGGGATTCACCACTTTTTTTTATCGATATACCTATTTTGCTTTCCTTGATTTATCAATCATCTCGATATAATCAGTTACTTATCACAGTAGGTCAAGACAATAAGTATGTCAATATTCTTGAGTATGTAGGGTAAAATAACTGCTTTGTTCCTTGCACAACACCAATTATTGATATGGATAAAACCTATTTATTTAACAAAATGTAGCAGTTTTACGACAGTAACAAAGCAAGACAAACTGAAATCAATGCAAACAAATTTGCTGTGGTTGCAAATCTAACACCTGAATTTGGTTTATTTGGATCTTTTGTACTGATGCTATCAGGATTGGTTGTTACAGTCGTGTAACTAAGATTTGTGGTTGTAGGAATATTACCGGGAGTTGTTGTAGTGTTATCTTTGCTGGGAAGAGTCGTAGTAATGTTACTTGGACCTGTCGTTGTAGTATAATTACTTGAATCTGTCGTGGAAATATCAGTTATTGGACTTGTCGTTGTAGTTATGCTGCTAGGCAAAGTCGTAGAAGTACTTGGGATAGTTGTTGTAGTTATGGTACTCGGCAGAGTTGTAGTTGCCTTACTTGGAACTGTCGTTGTAGTCAAGTTGCTGGGAGGAGTAGTTGTATTAATAGTACTTGGCCCTGTCGTTGTAGTTATCTTACTAGGAATAGTCGTAGTTGTAATATTACTTGGACCAGTTGTAGTAAATATGGTACTGGGAAGAGTAATTGTACTGAGAGTACTTGGCCCTGTCGTTGTACTTAAGTCACTGGAAGGTGTCGTAGTAATATTACTTGGCCATGTGGTTGTAATTGTGCTTGGGTCTCTCGTTGTAGTAATGTTACTGGGAGGAGTCGTTGAGGTAATATTACTTGGCAACGTCGAAGTTATACTGCTGGGAAGTGCTGTTGTAGTATTATTAATTGGCTCTGCTGTTGTAGTAATATTACTTGGATTATTTGTTGGTATGCTACTGAGAACAGTCATTGTCGTACTATTACTTATATCTGTCGTTGTAGTTATGCTGCTGGGAAAAGTCGTTGTAATATTACTTGGACTAGTTGTAGTTATACTACTGGGAAGAGTCATAGTTGTAGTATTACTTTTATTTGTCGTCGTAGTTATGTTGCTGGGAAAAGTCGTAGTAATAGTACTTGGATCTGCTGCTGTAGTAATATCACTTGAACTAGTTGTAGTTATGCTACTGGGAAGAGTCATTGTCGTACTATTACTTTTATCTGTCGTTGTAGTTATGCTGCTGGGAAAAGTCGTTATTGTAATATTACTTGGACTAGTTGTAGTTATACTACTGGGAAGAGTCATAGTTGTAGTTATGTTGCTGTGAAAAGTCGTAGTAATAGTACTTAGATCTACTGCTGTAGTAGTATCAATTGGACTAGTTGTAGTTTTGCTACTGGGAAAAGTCATTGTTGAACTATTACTATCATCTGTCGTTGTAGTTATGTTGCTGGGAAAAGTCGTTGTCGTGACATTACTTGGACTAGTTGTAGTTATACTACTGGGAAGAGTCATTGTTGTACTATTACTTTCAGGTGTCATTGTAGATATATTGCTGGGAAAAGTCGTTGGAGTAGTATTACTTGGATCTGCTGTTGTAGTAATATTACTTGGACTAGTTGTAATTATGCTACTGGAAAGAGTGATTGTTGTATTATTACTTTCATCTGTCGTTGTAGTAATATTACTTGTATCTGTCGTCGTGGTTATGTCACTTGGCAAAGTCGTGGTAGTTATATCACTAGATCTTGTAGTAGAAAGGTTATCGAATTCATCATTACAAAAATCGGTTGTACAATGCATACATTCTTTTATATCGATTCCATCGTGTGAGTTACAATTGAAGATGGAACTACTGCAGCTTTTTATCACAGTGTCTTCCTCTTGGTGAAATTTATTTCCTAAAAAAAGTTGCGTTTACGAACGTTTGTAGTAATAAGACTTATTTTTACCTGGCACTGAATAAATAAGACACCCATGTTTGGAAACACATGAATTATATTGAGTATCATAACAATGGAATGTGTCGGCCACAACTGAAATAAAATCACTCTCACGATAAATTAAAACTTATTCTTTTCTATTCCTATTTACCTGCATTATGTATTTCAAACAACACTATCGTTAAGAAACAAATCCCTTTTAAATACAAGTACATTTTTCCAATATGAAAATCTGTGACTACTAAAGATTAAGTAAAGCAAACTATCTTGGTTTTATATTCCAAGATAGCCCATTAGTTCAGGTTATCTTCTGATATTTTTTAAGTCAAGTATTAATATCAAGTGATCAATGTATAACATCATTTGCACAGATCTCAAAATGTACTTACCTATTTTACCTTTATAGTTATTTGTCTTGAAATATTTACTTAGCCTTTCAAATTGGATTAGCAAAGATTAGTTTTCAAAGCTCATTGCATTATAATCTTAAAGAATACTTTTATTATTCAAATTTGATTAAATAAATTGTATAGTGGATCAAGTTTTTTTTATTTTAACCCATAGTTTGCTAGTTGCTACATGTCGTTACTTAATTAAGCAAGTCAGTGTAATTTATCAACTAATTTTATAACTTTCTGGAAACTTTATCATATTATTCCAATAATTGATTGACTCTTTGGCTTATACTAGGCTTAGGCACAATTTTAGGATAAAAATTATCTGAATTTAAGATTTATCACAATTGAATTTCAATGTGGATTTTTCTTTTATCCAAAGTCTCAAATAGAATAAACTTAAGTGTACTGTTTCTTAAACCTTTTGGCTTAAATAATTTGAAAACATCAAGAGAATTCTTTCCAATTTTTCTTAACTTTCTTTTACAGTTTACTTGGTCCGACTTAGTTTTCGCCGTACTGTTAGACCAATTCGAAACAATGTACGGCAAAGCGGCCCTCAACAGCTATCCTGCACTGAAGGGCCTGAAAGACAAAGTGCATAACATACCTGGTATACGAAGCTATCTCGAAGTAAGACCACCTCGATCACCTATGCCCAGACACTAACCATATATTCAGAAATAGTTGGTATAAACTAAAAAAGAGAAGCATTTATTATGTTTGTTACAAGAAGAGTGACTTGAGATTCTTGTTGGAACAAACCATATGTGTCGTGGAAATTGTGTATACTTGATTAGTTTTAGTATATAGTAAATTTACCTATCCATGTTTCAAGGAATTGTTCTGTTTGGTCTAAGCAATTTATCAATCAGAAGCTTATTATTATAAGATAAGCTCGCGAAACAGGCCTATTTTTTGAAATATGGTATCTGCAGAGTGGAATAAGTTTTAGTTAGTAAGTGTTAAATTTAGATGAAGAGTTTAAGATTTAAATTTTAAGAACAGATTGACGTTTTTAGTTTTTTTAGGTGCCTTCAAGTACTATTACCCTATTTAATTTTAATCCATTAAAATTGGAATAAAATTTATTCGTTTTTAGAGTAATGTACTATAATTTAAAAAAAAAAAATACGTATACTTAATATAGTGTCTAAATATATGTTTCATGTTTTATTTATTTACTAATCCTTTATTTGGGATAAAGCACAAAACACAAGGAAAAAAATAGAAGCTGAGAAGAGAATATTTGGCATGATTGATTTGCGTGCACTGAAACAAGGATTTAGTTATATTAACCTAAAATTAGTGACTATCACTAAATCGCTTATTGAAATATGGCTTATTAAACCTTTGGTCACAACACACAAATTATTTGTTTAAAATTTAAGAATAAAGCACTTATTTAATAATATGCTCTATCTAATAATAGTTAATTAACTCATATCAATAATAAATAAATATTTTGTTCTCTGAAGTTGGTGTTTGCTTCTGGATTTTCTGTCTTTACTAATAGTAAATTGATCATATTTTTCAAAAATATACGTTTGTTAATAATAAATTCTGGTTTCTTTTGCTGGATTAAACATAACTTCATATTTATTACCAGTAAGTAGACAGTACTTGATTCAAATAATCATTTATTAATAGTAAAAAACGTTTATTCGTAAATATTATTTAGCGTTGTTACTGTTAATTTGAAATTATTTACCATAAGTATTTTTTTTCTTTAAGCCCGGTTGTACAATTGAAGCCTATCATGGCTTAGTTAAGCTTTCTGATACTTGAAACCTTCCCATTTAAAATGCACAGCTGTAAGATTTGACAACTCGTTGACAGTATTGCATTTTAAATAGGAAAGTACAAGTAACAGTTATGCTTTAATAAGCCACGATTTATAAGCTTCGATTGTACCACTGGGCCTTAGTTTGTTCCTGGGAATAGGGCACTCTGAAATAATTAAAAACAAACCGATCTTTTTTAAAATTAATTTTTTTCCGGTAGGCTAGATTCTCACATACCCTAATAACACAGTAACATCGCAGAAACATTCCAGAAACATCCATCAGGGATAATGAAGACGTCCCTGGGAGGTCCCTATTTTCCTGGGGACATCCCTGGGATGTTGCAGGCAACAGCCGTGTCATCATTTGCGATGTCCTATAAACATCTCTCAGGGATGTTTCTAAGATGACGCGGGATGTACCTAATACATCCGGGGCAGGTGTAAGAAACATCCTCTATATGTTTCTAGTATGACTTTAATAGGTGAATGAATTTTAGGATTATGGATTAAAAATTACCTAATTCAATAATTTTCAATTTTCGTTCTATTTTCTGGAAGTCAGATAGAACTTTTTCCAAAAAAAAAACAAAAATTGAAAATTATAAAATTAAGTAGGCACATCAGTTTCCAATAACATTTTTTATTGAAAAAATAAGGTACATGCATACTTATATTGATTATCTATCAACTAATAATAACCGACGGACAATTTTGCCTAAATAATGTAGTATTTATGCCCCGTCGTCATGTCATCGAAAACCATAGTTTGGCAGTGGCAGCATGTTGTAGTGGGGGAGTTCGGCGTTTTCTTTTTTTTTTTGGTGCTCCAATTTCATAAAGGTACCATTAACTAACCAAAACAACCACAGAACCAAAATCCAAAGTTCTTGAAGTACAATTCAACTTGCACACCTAGAATGTAATCAACTATGAAAACAAAAAATAATTATTGGTTATTTTCTCTTACCTAATGAAGAATGAAGTTCGGGTTTTTAGGGGCTATTTATTAGAAAAGTTAGAAATTTCCTAACCGACGCCATATTGAAATTAAATAAACTAAACAATTGATAGTTATGCGACGTTATCTTTCAACAAATAATCTTTCTCACCAACTAATAAGCACTGGTAGGTCGCAGAGATCCTTTCGAACACAAAATGGCACAACTAGGTGTAGCGAAAAACCACAAATTGACAAATCCTCCACACAGCACGACGCCATTACGAAATAAAATTCCGCCCAACAACACAAGCGAAGCGCACAGGACGACCCGTTCGACTGATTCTGCCCGTCTGCGCTGGCTGCGGCGCCGACCCTACGTGGTGGCGTGCCCTCCTGTCCTGACCGGTACAAGTACAAATGCCTGAGCACGCGCCTGCGCCATACACTTCGGCTTCACGAATATTCACGATGTTTGAAAGTTGAAAAGAGAGAAGACTTTCATCAATACATATTTTATTTTATTCCAAGTTGTAAGTCGAATGAAAAATTAAATTTTGCTGTTGTTACAATACAAAATTAATATTAAGTACCTTATCTATATACATTACAGGTATATTATGGAATTTGAAATTAGTTTGTGTGTGTGATAGAGACATTTTCAGAAATCACACAAAATTGGCAAATTTAATACTGGGTCCTGCCGGTCTGAGGTCCTACCTAGTTTTGTAAAATAATGTTAGCCATTTTTCAGCTGTAATAAGTATCTAATTTTGAGAACGAAAAATCTTTTTGTCGATAGATATTTTCGAAAGGATGTTTCTAAAACATTTCAGGACAATCATCCTAGAGATGTTACATTACAAACATCGCAGCGATGTACCATTTATGTCGGAAACATAAGGACCTTAATGGTACATAAATAGGATGTTTCTGGGAGATCGGTGTTATTAGGGTAGGTAACATCATTTTGTTGAAGAACATAGCAACATGGCGGGTGTGCATGCGGCGACCTGTGAATGTAATAATGAACTATAACTCGATTATCTTCTCAGATGTAACCAGGAAAAAAAGGTGAATGCAAAGTTGCTTGGTACCTATTAATTAACTGGAGCTTCTCCAGAAAATATTATTACGTCACCATCACAGCACGTTTCCAAAAACCATTATAATAGGCTCGTACAGCATATTTTTTTTATTACATATTCTAAAAGAGCGTGTTGAGTTTAGCAGTTATTTAAAATTTCATAATTTTCTGAGCCCTTGTTCATATTTAAATAAATTATCAAAGTACTCCAAATTTGAAACACGCGATGACGTCACTGCATCTCTCACGTTGGTCCTTGTGGCTCTGGTACGCCAGTCACTTTGACAATACGGGCATTGTTTTGACAAGTTTTGGTTATGTTATGGTTTGGCATCGTTTAGACAAGTTTTAGTTTGGCATTTTATGTATCTGATAGAGGTTTAGATTATACCACGAGTCAATAATGATAGCTATTATTCCCGAGGATTATTACGAACTGAGCCGCGTTAGCGGCGATGGAGTAACATTCCGAGGGAATAATAGCCATTATTTCGAGTAGTATACTCTACTTTATTTACGACAAATTAATTTATTTGAGATTTTCAATGAACAAATTTCATCCGTCTCATCATTTTCAATACAAATCCACAAGCACTACACGTTTGACACTGACACTTTTGTGGAATAATGACCATTAATCCCGCTACTCGTCATTAATCCCTGGAGGAATAACATATGTCATTATACTGCCAAAATCACAAATATAATACGCACATTATACATTAGTCGTAAATAAAAGCAATTATTTTAATAGAATATAATGGATGATGGATTCGCCACTCTGTCAATGGTATTGATCATTTTGATAATATTATCAGGGCTTGAAATTCATGTAAAGTTATGCTGTAAAAATCGCAGCAATCGTGATGCCAAAGCCAAAGGCAATAGAATTTGATTTGTTAATCAGATCTATGTACGGATAAGTTTAATTGATTCGGAGATAGATGAGAAAGAAAAATGGTCAAGCGTTTTCCAACCAAACTATGGATATATTTATCATAACTAGGCTTTGTATAGGTATGTATTATTGGGAAATGAACTAAGAAATAAAAGAACTTGTTAATTATCGATATTCAATATATTTATTATATCGAACACAGCGTGGAAAGCAGAGCGTGTGAACACATAGAAATAACTATACGAACTGACTCAACATCAAGACAAACCCTTTCTTAAGTAAACGATTCCTCATCTGTTTATCTTACATATAAAAACTATTATAAACACATTCAGTCATCCATAGCTGCGATATAAATTAGCAAAGTATAGACTAATAATGAAAGTTTAATTTATTAATTTTTGTTTCACTGATATGAATATCAGTTTATCCAACACGCCACCTCAAAAATTTGATCAATTATACTAAAAGTGTAATACAACTTAAACCTAGTATAACATAAATAGGCCTGCTTTCCTTATGTGTGTCTTTTCTGGGGAAAATTACAATAACGGTCCAGCATTTGCTGCACGGGATTAGGGAAAACCCAGAAAAACCTAATCAAACCATTTAACTTATTTACTAAGCCTAATTCCATTCTAATTTCTCAAATTTCACTTGCATCAATGGTTTGGTAAACATGTCTGCTAGTGGTTTCTCTGTGGACAAATTAATATTTTATATTAATTACGATCAATTCAATATGATTTGATCTTTTGTGATTTCTTGGATTATTTGTAATACTTATTGAGGTCTATTATTATCCTCCTAGGTCATAATTGACTCTGATGTTAATATTTATGCATATTTTCTGCTAATGATTTTAACCAAAGAGCCTCTTCAAAAAGATAAACCATATATTCGGCTTCAGTAGATGATGCCGTTACTGACAACTGCCTTTTTGTATTCCAACATATCACAGAAATTTCAAACAGTTTAAATACATATCCTGTTGTGCTTTTATATTGTTTATATTATCATCTCCACTTTCCTAGTCAGGATTAATAGAATCACTCATTGATACATTCACAAGTAAAATATTGTGTCAACTTCACATTGATTTTACCCTTAAGATATCCAAGGACCCTTTTCAAATATTGCCAAAACTCTTTATTATTCTTGTTTTAATACCTGCTCAAAATATTAACAATGGTACTTAAATCAGGCTTGATATACATAACATAATATACATTAAACAGACGATTAGACTCCGGCAAGGGCTATCACGTTTTTCTCCTGAATTTAAACCAAGCTGACACAGCTGATGGCACAACAGTCATTCATATTAAATTTATGTAAAATAGTTTTCATGTACATTTGAACTGTACCTATATGAAAATTGATCAAGACTAATTTTATTTTTGATTACCTTTTAATTTTATTACCCAAAAATAGTTTACTGTCTTTCAAATAAAACATATAACAGTTAGTTGCCAAATCCCTTTTAAACTATTCAATGTATTATTATCTGCAGTGGCAAATACCATCTACAGAACTACATAAATAATTTTACATATTGCACCTTTGGCTAAGATATAAATACAGTGGTTAACTGATGAATTTTCAAACCCATTTTCTTTATGAACTTTTACTATTATTTCAAACCAACATCTAGTGGTTTGTTTTAGTCCATAGATACAAAGCCTTATAAACTTGGTTAGGTTTACTTGTTACACCTTGAGCCAGCCACCCTTCAGCCTTCAGGAACCTTCATAAAAATGGCTTCCTTCAATGTCCCATTCGGGAAAGCTGTTTTTACATCCATATGATGTACTAAAAGGGTAAACT